TGTGCAGCCTGGAGTGCTGGTCGAACTCACTGACCTTCCTCTGCACCTGAGTGGTCTGCAAGTAGGTCTCCACAAGCCTCAGGATTGCAATTGTGTGTCTAGTATGTGCGGGGCTCACTAGCTACACAATCTCCAAATCCTCACACCATTCTTTTGAGGATGGTCTGGTTAGCTGTATTTTTAGAGATAAGAAAGCTGAGGGGTGGAGAGATAAGGAAACTTGCCCAGAGGTCACAAAGAGCCAGGACACCAACCAACTCCTCCAAGCCTATGCCAAAGGGCTCAGTTATCACCTTCAATTTGTGTTCTGGTAGGGAAAACTCAGACCACTGAACCTTCAGACGGATCATCTGACAGAGTGTATCTTCCCTGGAAGTCCAAGGCTTCTCACAGCTGCAGAAATCAAACCCTCACATATGCAGCATCAATCCTGGCTTCTGGACCAGCAGACATGCTCTGAGAGCATCCTCTCCTGCTGGCTTGGGCTGGGATCTGAAAGAGCTGCTGGCCTCCCGCAGCCCTGCAAGCCCAGCTCCTGTGGCTTCGGGCTGTGTGAAAGGCACAGTCTACTCTTTTCTCGGTTCTGCACATATTCCCCACCTGTCTGCTGCTCAACAGAAGCCGTCTCATCTTGGCTATAAGTATTCAAGTGCCTTCCAAAGACGTAAAATCAAGATCTAGGTCACTCAGAAACAGGCCCCCGCTCCCCAAGGGGAAAGGGCTGCAGTTCCTCATGTTGGCCAGGAGCGGCTCCCTTTGCCACTTGGCTTCCTCTGAGGGGTCCAGGAACGCTCGGGTAAACGACTGGCCCTCCTTCTTTCTACCTTTCCCCAAGCTTTCCAGAGTATGTGGCCTCAGGCCCTGCAGAGGGCAGCCTCAGGACACCCACGGTCAGGATTCTGCCTTGTGGCCACCCACAAAAACCCACAGCAGCAATGTGGTCGCTAGAAACCAGGAGTACTCTACATAACCTTCTTTAGGAGGGAGTGAGAGGCCTGCCCCACCCAAAAGCGGCCTTTTCCTGAAAGCCCCCAGGACAAGGATCAGGGCATTTTGCCAAACAAGCTGTGGCTACCGAGGAAGACAGCTCCCAGCTTGGCTCAGAACAACTTTATCACTGTTGACTTAAGCACAGAGGGTGAGAATCAGCTGTGGTGCTTGACGTTTCTGGATATGGTTCCTTTAACACATCATCTTGCCACAGATTCTGGAAAATGATGGTCCCAAATTCTGTGCCTTTGTTTGGTTGAGTGCGTGCTGATGTATCTATGTAAGTGTCATGCAGTAAGATTTAAAATCACTCTGCATTTATAGAATGCTTGCAACGTGCAAGATCCCGTGGGGCCCTTTGTATTCATAATTTTATTTAATCTCCGGAGATACTGTCTAATTTAGCTATGCAGAATTGAGGATCAGAAAGGGTGAATAACCTCCCAAACTTCTGACAGCTAGTAAGTGACAGAGGGAGGCAGAGTCTGAAAGCTGGTGTGGCTTCTAAGCCCCTTCATACCAGGACTAGGGTCTGGAATTTCTGGTAAGACGGCTTAGCCTCTGGTTGCTCCCAACCTAGCACTGCCTTAATCTGGGGGTTGCTTTGGAAGAAGGGTCAAGGCTGGGAGTAGAATCAAAAGGGGAAGGTGAGGATGAAATGTACAAGCTCGTTTATGCTGGAGCTGGTTTGAGTGCCTTGAAATTCACCAGGGCTTCTAGGAGTCTTCCAGGATGGGGGCCTTTTGCACAGAGCATCTGGGAGCTCATTAGTGTCACTGGGCACCAGGAGAGAAAGATAAAAAAGAGAGTGAAGAGGCAAAAAGGGAAGGGGGGGGGCAACAGGCGGAAGCAAGCGATGAGGAGCAGAGAGGGGTGGCACTGTGGCTGGTGGCCTGAGGACCCTTGCCAGGGAGCCCCTTGCCTCGGAAGCTGGTAGAGCAAGCATAGCCTTCATTCTTTCAAGAAGGGCCAACAAAGGGCAGCTGAATCAGAGGATTTCTCAAGAAATAAAAATTCCTAGCACACCCCTGGGGCCTCGGGGAGAAAAACTGATAACGTGTTGATTGAAAACAGACCCAGCTGATGTGGGCCCGCAGCGTGAGGCCGCACTCTCGCAGGTTCACAGCGACACCTAGTGGTTTCCGTGGGCAACTGACGCCTCCGTGGAAATGAGGCCTGTGGTCTGGTGGAGAGTATTTGGGGTCTAGAGCAGACATTTCCTGTTTTCCCTCTCTGTCAAAGCCCGTATTTCGCTTTGTGGACTATGTAAAATTTCTACAGGAATTCTACCCCCAGGGGTAGGGGGCCACTGGTCAAAGACTGGACTTCCTAGTATAGCCAGTTACATATTTCCAGCTGACTGCGTCAGCTAGGTTTTCTGAAGAAGTGGTCATTATTTCCTCTGATTTTATTCTTTTCATTTATTAAATCTAATGGAATGTATTTAATGGTGATACCTTTAGAAGATTTTTACACAAATGAATTCAATCAGTCTTTGTCAGATTACGTGTTTGGAAAATATGACTCTGCTTCTCTATGAGGTCAAAGACCTTGGCTTCCATTGTCATGCTGATCAGTAAGTCTACTGAAAAATGAAAACTATACATATCTTTCCGGATAATGGTGCTTGAAAATTTTCCTTCCTTTCCTTGCCTCCCCTCCCACCATTTAAGCTTTGGTTAATCCACTCGTCTGAAGGCTCCCTGTATGTCCTGTGTTAGTACAATGCCTGGGACATGGTTGATACTCAAAAACTATTTCTTAATTGAATGACTTAAACTCCTGATTGGGCAGTGGCAGGGACAGGGAGGTGGGTGGGGTGGCACACAGGAGGGAGGTCAGATACCAATCTCCTGGCAAGTGCTCCTGTAGGATTCCAGACTCTGAGGGGAATTTATCAGACCAGGAAGACCCTTGCCTGGCAACTTAGCTTCTTGTCAATGGCTGGGGATGGTCTGTGGTTAAGTAGTAGCCCAGCATGGCACTTGTAACGCTCTGTAAAAAGGCCTACCAAGTGTCTGTGGGTTGGCACTCCTGGAGGGTTCCACATGGCCATGCTTTATAGACACCCTCAAGAGACTCCCTGAAGCCTGTCCTTTGGAAGAAGAAACCATCAGCTTCTGTGATCCATTCTACCTGAATTACACTGGCCAAATTACCTGTGTTAACTGGGTCCATTGGTTGCAAAGATTAGCGACTCACAGATTTATTGGGAAGGTACATGTGGAAATAAGGAGCCTTGCCCCAATTTCTTGATCTCTCCAGAATGCAGAAGCTACAGAAGACCTGACTATTTGGAGTGAGGTGGAGTGGGTGTGGGTCATATTGGTGCCAACCAGTATCATTTGAATAGCCTGCCTAAATTAGGAAAATTGGTCAGGTTAGTGTCATTACCTCACCAGGGTGTAGATCAGGACTGTTTTCCAGACCAACTCTGCAGCTCAGACACAGGCAGGTGACCTAGGCTCTGCCAATTGGATGCAACAACATGAAACTTGAGTAAAGCGTGAAAAGCAAGGAAGCGCTGCTACATGGGATTGCATCTTGAGAATGGGGGCAGAGCACGGCGGGGAATGTGGAGCTCCCCCAGAGGCAGCAGGGGCAGAGATGCTCCCAGTAACACAAGCCAAAGGCAGTGGAATCAAGCCTGTGACCAGACCAGTGGGGATATGGGTATTGTTTATGGCCCCAGAGCCTCAAGCTGCCTCCCTAACTCTGCCAGAGATTCTGTGAGCCACTCATATCTTTTCATACAAATCTTCTTCTTTACCCATCCCTGAACCAATCACTGAGGCTGGGGAGAAGTAGCAATCTGATTGGCCTGACCTGGGTGGGACATGTACTCAGCTCTAGGGCACAATGTCAGTACCATGAGAACACAAGGCTAACAAAAAACTAGAGTGAGTTTTGTTGTTTGTAAATATGAACCTTGATTGATAAACTCATCATGAAAGTATATGTAGGTTTCATGGATATTAGGATCAGAAATTCATTCAGCATTCAAGGCAGCTATAGGAGGTTCATGTCAGGAGTTCAAGGATCATTACTATAGAGAGGTTGGACTCGATTGTTTTGTTTGGGGCTGAGGTGGTATCTGTTGTAGCTGCCTGTTCAAAATCCCTCCAGTAATGACCATTTTCTACAGTTAAGCCTTGTGTTCTGGTGGTACTGACATCGTGTCCTAGATCCAAAGCTGAGCACACGACCCAGGCCAGGCGATCAGATTGCTGCTTCTCCCCAGCCCCAGTGATTAGTTCAGGGATGGATACATATCCCAAGGTGGACCAACGAGAGCTATCCCTGGGACTTGAGCTGTAGCTCTAGGGAATTACTCTTTTTTCTGCTGAGGCTGCTAAGCTGGGAGGAGGTAAGAAAGAAACATGAAGCCATTGTTGGCCACCATGTCAAGTGTGGGAATTGCTGCCAAACAAAGAATAAAACCGCCTGGAGGAAAGCAAGAGTGAAAGACAGAGAGGTACTCCTTCCTGATGATACTGCACATTTGGATCCAGCCAGGACTGAAGTCAGTTCCAACCTTAGACTTTTGAATTATGTGAGCCATCCAATTCTTTCGTATGTTAATTTGAGGCCAGTCTCTGTCACTTAAAACCAAAAGGGTCCTAACTAATAATACCATGGTGCATGTTCAGATACTAGAATTTTTGGCAAGGCTTCAAAGGGATTAAATTACATGCCCACTTATCATTCCATTCATGTGATTATTCTTCAAGCCTGTGTTTTCATTTGAGGATAACTGTTACAGCTCCAACTGTAATCTCCTCTGTACTCACAAGACCTAGTTTTCACATATCCTGGGAAATATATGGTTCCTTTACCTAGGTTTGTCATTACCGTATACCTTTTCTGTCCAATGTGCCCGTCTGGGATTCTCCCCTTCTACAGGAAGCATTCCTCTCAACATTCTGTCTGAGGAACACTGTTGTAACAACATATATCCTCACTTACAACAAAAGGTACGTCCTCCACCTTGAGCACAATATGGTACCCACCTGTGAGGGTAGCTGCCAGCCTATGTGCAGAGGCTTTGGGTTCGGAACCACTGGTCCTGGAGCTCTGGCGTCAGTGTGATTCAGTGACTACAGTCTTCACGCCCCTCTTCTACCTGTATCTTCATGATTCTTGTCCTGCTACCAGCTGGCTCACTTTCTCTTTATTTCCGAAATCAATTCCCAAAGGAAGATCTAATTTGATTGATCCCATTTGGGCAGGGGATTGAGCCAGACCCCACCAGACAATACCAGCCGGTTAGTTCATGTATGGAGGTCCTGGGCAAGGCATCCGCCTCTGTCTGATCACACATGGCCAAAGGAGGGTGTGCAGGTCACATGCTCAAAATACAGTCAAGTCTGGGTGAGCAAGAGCTTGGAGCCCATTTCTCTCTGTGGGGGCTATGACTGGAGCAGTTTTCTTAGCCAGGAATGGTGTGTTTGATAGCTTCCATGATCAGTGTGTCTGGTACCTTCTCCTGTCCTATAAATAATAGAATAAAATCTTGATGCTGATAGGGATATGGATACTGATAATAATTGTGAAAAACTGGCTTCCACGTTCAACACCTCTATTCTTCCTGTATCACACTTACTGGCTGTCTCTGTGAAAGTTAGTTTTTCTTTTCTTTTTTTTAATTTAAAATTAAAAAAAC